TAATCAATAACATCTTTTAAAAAGCAGTTTAAGAATAGAAGGGAGCTTTCTGGGCTCTTCATCTAAAGGTGGTTATAGTCCATCGTGGAGGCTATGTCGTGGGCACAGGCATGGCTTCTCACACTGGGCCCACAGTCATGAAGCAGAGACAGATGCTGCGAACATGCCCCGCCACCTCCTTTTTTTCATTCACTTCAGGACCTCAGCCCATAGCACCCTGCCATCTTTACTCAAGATGAGTCTTTTCTCTTCAGTTAAACCTTTCTGGAAACAGCCTTATAGACATACCCAGAAGTGTGTTTGCAGGGCAATTCTAAAGCCAACCAACAGTGAGAGTTTGTAAGCACTGAGATTACAGGTGCACACCATAGCACCCAGTAGAAAAGGAAAGGTGGTAATATCAGTTTCATCTGAAATAGTCGCATGCCAGTGCCAGGAAAATCAGGTCACTGTTGAAGAATACAGCCATCTTTACGTTTCTCTGCAACTTTGTAAAATTGAAAACAGAGATTCAAGGAGCTGCATCAGCCGCCATCTTGGGTCTAGAAAAATCACTGAACACAGGTGTGTGTAACAGTTCCAGAGGGCTTCATGCAGGGTGACACACGCATCCTTACACACCCTGGTAAGGAAGATATGAAAATAGATTTGAAGTGGCAACATCACTCACTCATCCAAAGACACAGGGTCAGAGGTCACATACTAGGGTAGCAGACATTCTGGTTCCAAGACATGTTCTGAATCCTGCGCTCTCAAAATACACGGGCGTATCTGTGTCAAAAGCACACATATTGGTGGTAAAAAAAAAAAAAAAAAAAGGAAGGGGGAAAAGGCAGGGAGGGATGGAGGCAAAGGAGTCATGCCCATTGCCACATGAAACGAGTATTCTGGTGTTTCTGGAAACAGAATGGAGGACACCAGATCTTGCTGAAATGAATCTCATGAAGCTAAGTTGGTGCTTAGCGTTGAGAGTACCAGTAGTCTTCATGGGAGGAACTCTCCTTTAGAGACATGACTAAGCCAATCCAAGCTTGACAAGAAATCCATGAAGTCCCCCAAAGTAAGCAAAATGTGACTCAGGGCCTAGGCTTACAACACATTCAAGGTTAAGCCCTTGCTCGTCTCTGAAGGAAGTGGGGAGGGGCCTCTCTGTGTAAGGTGGTCCAACATAAATAACCTTTGCTCCCTCTCCAAATGGCAACGAAACATTAAACAACTGAGGTCCTTATTGCCAATTTAAAGCAATTGCTTGTGTTTGTGTGTATGTGTGTTTCCTAAAGCACATAGAGAGTAACGTTAAAACATTACTGTTTAATCGTCTTTCAAGTACATCCACTCCTTCCTGCTTGGGCTGCTCAATTTGCCCTCTCGGTGAAAGAGTACAGAGGTGCTAGGCTGAGCAAGGTTCTAAAAAACAAGGAAAACCAAGGAGTTTTCTTCCGGTTATGAGGCAGATTGTGATTTAAGAACCTGGATGGAAACCTGGGTACTGGTAGAATCCAAAGAAACCTTCGCTCTGATTAAGACTTCAAGCTGGCAGCCTAACACATTCTGCCCCTGTGGACAGTGAGACTGGGAGAGATGAGGAGTTTCTGTGCCTCAGAGCTCTTCGCCTTCTGTTTGATAATCCATTGGGTTTAAGAACCAAGATGAGGGGCTGGAGAGATGGCTCAGTGGTTAAGAGCACTGGCTGTTCTTCCAAAGGTCCTGAGTTCAATTCCCAACATGGTGGCCCATAACCATCTAGAATGAGATCTGGTGCCCTCTTCTGGCATGTAGGTACACATGCACGCTGGCAGAATGTTGTATAAATAAATAACGAAAGGTAGGAAATCCACACAGAACAGGGAGGGGCTAGAGTGTGCTGTGTCCACTGGATGGTGGGAGGTGGCCCATTGGGTGAAGGGCTTGGTGTGCGAGCACACGGACCTGAGCTTGGATTGTCAATACACAGCGTCGGACACGGCAGGTAGCGCATCGTCTGTGACTCCCGTCATCCTCAGAAAAGATGGGAGGCAGGGACAAGATCTGCGAGTGCTCACACGCATGTATACGTACCTGAAAGCGTTGATTTAAGGCAATGGTTCCCAACCTGTAGGCTGTGCTCCCTTTGGCAAACCTCTATCTCCAAAAGTATTTATTTTATAATTCATAACAGTAGCAGACTTACGGTTATAAAATAGCAACGAAATAATTTTATAGTTGGGGGCCACCACAGCACGAGGAACTGTATTTAAGGGTCCCAGGCAGCATTAGGAAGGCTGAGGACCACTGATTTAAAGGAACATGCTGCTGACAAGGATGTGCCCAGCTGTCAGCAAACATCTTCACATTATTACTCCAAAATGCTGACCTAGGGATAGTGACAAGAAGGTAGAACCTGCTTCAAGTATCTGATGTGCTGGCAGGACACTAAGTGTACCTCAGAGCCATGCCATTAGAAAGCTGACCCCTGACCTTGCATCCCACTGTTTTTGCCCATTAAGTGACTAAGATCACAGGATTGTGGTACCAGATCTTGCCAATTGATCCTGGAGAAGTCATCTGATGTTTGCGAAACACAAGACGGAACAGGATGAGGAGGAGCTGACTCCATCTAGAACGTCCATCAAGTCAGGGGAGGAAAGGATCATCCATCGGAGCTCCCCCTGACTGCCTGCTTCTACAGCTTCTGGACTCTTGTCATGGCCGAAGCATAGGCGATGGCAAGGGAAGACAAAGGCAGGCAGGATGGAAAGGTGAATGTGAAAAGCACACTGTGACACCGTCAGAGGGCAGTAACTCCACTTTCGGTACATGAGACACACTTGCCCCATGACAGCTGTTCAGGGTCCCGAGATTCCTGAGGGAGTCTCCCTCTGCTGCGTGTCCTTTTCCACACCTGTTTTCACACTTGTGCCAAGCCTGCAGCTGTGCTTGAGCTGTGAGTTTCCCACACGAGCCACTGCCAGGCCCACTTCACCCAGCCACCCCCCCCATGAGGGAATCGCCGAGCACCAAAGGCTACTACATGCCCAGGCTTCATAACATCACAATGTTCCATCATCTAAAAAGTTTATGTTAGAGAAAAGCGTGGTGACGTCACAAACCACCTAGCCACTGCCCTGAATGCAGAACTCCCGTTTAAAGAAGTGTAAGATTTTTCTCTTGGGCTGCATGCATAGCCATTCTCATGTGGTCACATGTGGCCCGTGGGCCAACCGATGGACCCGCCTGCTGGTCAGTGGAGCCTCTACTTAGCTCAAGCTGAGATGTGCTGGGCCATGAGAGCCAACTAGCACATCTAGGAACACAGTGCTCTGGTTGTGGAACACAGACACTTAAAAACTAAATTGGGGCTGGGGAGATGGCTCAACTGGTAAGAGCTCTTCCAGAGGTCCTAAGTTCAATTCCCAGCAGCCACATAGCAGCTCACAACCATCTACACTGCAGTCTGATGCTCTCTTCTGACATGCAGGCATACATGCAGATAGAGCATTCATACATAAAATAACATCTTAAAAATAAAAAAAAACCTTACATATCAGATTTTAAATTATTAAATTACAAAGAATTTGGATAAAAATTACGTATGAGATAAAGATAATCCTCAAGTAACATACTTCCTCTTAAGTTAATTCTACTTTGGTTGTTATTTTCTTTGAGACAGTGTCTTATCTATGTAGCTGAAGAGAACCTTGAACTCCTGACCCTCCTGCCTCCCACTTCCAAGTGCTGGAATTGCTGGGATGCACCACCACTCCCGGTTTCTGTGGTGTGTGTGTGTGTGAGAGAGAGAAAGAGAGAGAAAAAAAACCAGGGCTGTGAGCAATCGGGACAAGTGTTCCACCACTAAGTTAGAGCCCAGCCTCTGTCTTCCTTCTTTCCATGCTCTCAAGATTACATTTAACACAGCCGCAAGGTAAACAAAACCATGTGATGATACAGCTTGAAGTCACTTGTGATTAGAATATTTCCATGGGAGAAACTGGCAAGCAATACGAATCAGGGCTATTCGCACAGATGTAGGACTCTGGGTGGGCTTTGAGACAGGGTCTCACTGCACACAGCTCTGGCTGGCCTGTGACATCATTCCGCCGCTGCCTCCCTCTAGTGCTGGATTAAAGGCATGCACCAGAACACGCAGGAGAAGCAGGACTCTTAAACAGGCTGCTGTTTTTTATCTCTGAAGCCAGGCCTGTGAGGCCCTCCTCAGCTCAGCCTGCTGAACACCTAGTAAGAGAGCCATGCTCCACGTCAGAGCAGTGGTTCCCAGCCTTCCCAATGCTGCGACCCTTCAATACACTTCATGCTGTGGTGACCCCAACCATAAAACTATTTTCCTTGCTACCTCATAATGTTGCTACTGTTATGAACCGTGAACCTCTCTTTCCCTGTGAATGGATGACCCATTCACGGGGCTCATCCAACTTCCATTGGACCCCAAAGGGGTCACGACCCACCGCTTGAGAACAGCTGCATTAGCTGCTAGTACAGCTAAGAAAATTCAGGAACACTAATCCTACTCTAACTTGAGGCTCATTTACCAAGGTCCCCTGGGCACACTTAAATTTTCTTATGCTCTGTACTTAAGTCCAGGAACTTCTGGTATATGCCTTTCTCCAAGCCAGGCTTTAATTTCTGTTCCTCTTTCCTGTGAAAAAACACAAGAACTAGCTGTACTGCACTTCCCCTATTCACCACATGCCCTCTCCAAGTAGGTCACAGACTCAAAAGCCTGAAGGTCCAGGCTTTGGTAACTACTGTGGAGGGCAGACTGGCTCCAGAGGGGCTCCGGTGCTCGTTGCCATCCAGGTGTACCGAGCCCCTCAGCCCAGAATGATCATGCAATGGCAGCCTTCCAGCGCTTTTCTAAGAATCTGCTTTTGTTTCTAATTTTAAAGAGCCTCATTTAGAAATGCATTCTGATTTTGCCATCAACACTTCAGGCTAAATCAAGCGATGATGAGAAGGTTATGCCGCGCCCCCCCCCCCCCCCCAGCCTGATTTCGTGGCTTTACCATGGTGACTTGTAATCCCTCGTAGCTTTGCTGCCTCGCAGAACTGGAAACACAACACAGGAAACCTGGATGTAGAGGTGGGAGCTTTCTTCCCACAGTGGCCTTTCTTCAGTAGGTTAAAAGGACGGCTGGCCCAGCAGCCCCGCCTGCTGTTAGGACGATTCCGAAGCCTGACTGAGGTCTCCCTTGGCAATCCCCACTGGCAATCAGCTAAAGGAGCAGCCAGCCACTTCACTTGCCCTGGGTGGGGCTTCCCTTCCACCATGGACTCCACTTCCCAACTGGTGAAACTGGGAAGGAGGCTCCACCCGCCTGTTCCAGACATTGCCTAAAATCAATTCCTTCGGAAATCTTCTCTGATCCAAGGCACAGCCTTGGATTTAAAATAAGGGAGCCAGTGGTGGTGGTACACACACGCCTTGGGAGGCAGAGGCAGGTGGATCTCTTTGAGTTTCAGACACAAAGAAACCCTGTCTCAAAAAGTCAAGCAAGCAACCAACCAAAGCAAAAGGAAATAACTGGGGGGGGGGGGGGATTTAAACCATTCCCGAGGACAACACTCCTTAAGGATTTTGCCACTGTGCACCGCCGCCCCCAGCCTTGCCAAATACAAATAACTGGCAGGCCACATGCCCTTCCAACACATGGATACCAACTCCAAATATTCTCTGGTCTACAATCAGCATCCCAGATACTGTTATCAACCTACTGGTGCGATACAGACACAGGTACCAAGGTAGCTGCTCATGTTACACAATTTTTAATCACCTCTTATTGATTTTATGTACGTGTACTGACGAGGTGTGGGGGTCAGAGGGCAACCTGCAGGAGCTGGCTCTCTCCCTACCACACGGGTCGCAGGGTTCAAACTCTGGATGTCAGGCCTGCAGCATCTGCGTTTATGTAATGGCCAATTTCACTGGCCTGAGATCAAGCTCTTTAATAAGCAGGGATACAGTTTTAAAAAATATACTATCAGTTACTACACAGAAGCAATGAGTGCTGTTTACCTAGGTTCCGGGTCACAGTCTACCCATGGCAGACTACATACCTCACCAATGTGCAGCGGTATTTCATGACAGCCTTGCTGTCCAGGGCACTGTAACCTTCCCGGATCGGCTCATCACCTGCTGACATCACTGAAATGTCCTATGGCACATGCCTGTGCACGGGGTCCACCTGTAACATTTTGGGAGTGTGGCTTCCATTTTATAAACCCCGTGGTTAACTGTCTGAACTTAAAAAACACAGCACATCAGGTTAGCCAACACTCTACCGTGACACAAAACTGCAGGAAACCTCAGCGGACCCGGGTTTGATTCCCAGCACCCTCGTGGTGGCTCCCAACCACTTGTAACTCCAGTTGCAAGAAAGCCAATGCCCTCTTTCTGGCTTCCAGAGGCACTGAACACCTGCGGTGCACAGACATACATACAGGCCAAAATACCCATAAACATACATTTTTCTCTTTTTGTTAAAAAAAGAAGAAGCCATACGAGCTACATTTATACTGCCTTCCTACATTTACTGCCTCTGGATGCCTGCAGAGTTTATGATTGGATTTAGTTCGAATGTCTGGTGGAACCAACACTAAACAAGGATCATCACCAACTCAAAAGACCAGAAAGAACGAGAGTCAGTTTATGGTTCAAGAGGTACATTTTAAAAAATTATCTTTATTTCGGTTTTCTGATTGAGCACATGTATTAAAGACTGATCAACATAAAGTAAATAAGACATTAACTGGACGTCTTACATCTCTCTAAACTCCAACAGAGAATGTCGGGCTTGCCACCATTACCTGAACTCCAAGCTAGCCGAGCTGTAGATAAGCTATCAGAACCACACACGCAGCACATGGATATGCAGAGGCAGAGGGCAAGCTAGCACTTGGCAAATCTCTCTTCCTTGTTGACCTCTTCCCATCTGACAGTCTGCTCTCCTTTCAAACAAAGTCCCAAAGAAAGTCTGTGAAAACAACTGAGGGTCTGTCTGACCGGACATTCTTCCAAAGGAATGCATTTCAACCTGTGGTGCCTGCAACCTTGCTTTCGTCAGAAGAAAGTTCAGATCAAGATACAAAATACAATCTGAGGATGGTGAGGACCGAGTCAAATGGCAAAGTTGAGCAGTAACCCGAGTTAAGGCATGAATGCACACACGCGCACACACAGCACCCATGCTAGCACGCACAGAGGATCCCATTCATCATTCACAGAGAGGTGACCTGGGTGTGGCCAGTAATCACAACTGCTGAGCATTCTGGGAAATGCTCTCCAAAACGTTAGGCTAACACATTTTTATCAAAAATTAAAACAAAAAGAGACGAAAACTGAAAAATAAAGCCCTAATAATCTTTTAGTCTCTCGGAATGGCTCCTGAGAAAGAACCACAGAGAAGCATCAATGGCTGCCTCTTTAGTGATTTGGAAACATGAGTTTTACTACGCATGTCTTTGGTAGTCATTAACTACAAGCTCTCAGCATTGGCTAACCTATTAGACAAGTACAAGACAGAAGATCCAGTCACAAAGAAAACTTTCTTCTGCACTTTTAAAAAACACACTTCCTGAAGTACATGCCGCCATGCTTTCTCTTCTCTCACTGGGAAACCTCAAAAAGCAGAGCTTTGCACAGGCCAAGTTCGTGTCTACCTAACAATGGGGGATACACACTCTGTTCCTACAACTGAAGGATCAACAAAAATTCACATTATCGATTATTTCTGGTCGAATCAGAAGCCAGTGACAAAGGCACAGCAGCACGAGCCATCAAAGCCACATTCTGGTTACACATCTCTCCCATGGTCAATGGCCTGGGTCCTCCCGGTCAACAAAGACATTTGAATAAAACCTGAAACACATCCCTGTCTGCCAAAGGTCTAGAGTTCTGTCTAGGATGCCAGCATGCTTGACGAGAGAAAACGGGTCAGAGCCCGGAGGCGCTAGGGTGCTGGGTGCGTGGATAGGGTTCTGTACAAAGGTGAGGTCATCTGGGAACAGAACCCTCACCCTAATTAGCAGCACAGTGGTACCCGAGGGTCTCTGTCAACGAGACAGGAAATGAAGCCACTGAAGGTACTGTTGCTCCCACCTGCCGAGGATGGCTACTGATTTCAATCCAGGGTTAGCCTGTGAGAGTGGGGAACTGAGCCTATAGGAGCCACATCCAGCCCCGACCCACCTAAGTCCATTTCCCACAGTAAGGAGGCTCCTGTCCCTCCGGGCTCAATATCTGAGCCTCTTACCTATCTTCGAAAGTGATAGAGAACACCCTACGTTCAGAGAGTAGTGTTTGTTCTCTTGGTTCTTAATGTCTGCTGGGAGCGGCAACTGGATTATGCTGAAAAGTGCTGTTAGGAGGAGCTGGGTTTGAGGTGAAGTGATGGGCCTACAGGAATCCGAGGCACACGTTCCGGGACAAGTCTCGGTGCCGAGGACCTATCTCTTGAAAGGCTCTGCTCACCGTACGCAGCGCTTTCGCGCTTGTGCTTCTAGGTAACTAAGCTGATGGGCGGCGGAGGGAAGAGCTTTACAGAAGAGAGCTGGGTGCTGGAGTAGAAGCTGGTAGCCAACAGTACTGAAATCTACAATCCCAGAAAAACAAAAACAAAAAAGAAAACCTTGTAAACACGTATTTCTCTTGCAAGGAAAAAAAAAAAAATTCAGGACTGTACCGTGAAGGAAGAATTCATCTGCCTAGCCTCAGAATTTCCTTGGAATGGTCATGTACCAAGAGGGTCAGTGAGCTGCTGGAGAAGAGCCTGGGCTCAGTCTGACACTGAAAAGCTACCGCCCTGACAGGAAATGCCAGACTCCACCCTGTGTCTCATAACTGCGCTATGGTATGGCCTGCTCCATCACATACACCTTATAAATAAAACTTTTATAGACCGACAGTTTCTTCCTGGTCATCGGAGGACAACATTCTCAGTTTAGGTGTGTAAGAGAAGTGAAAGGTCCTACGGTTGTTCTTATTCTCAAGTTCGTAAAATGCTGTCAAACACTATTACCCAATAACACTTGTTCATTCTGTTAACTCTTAAATATGCATTCGAAGGCAAAATGGAGGTTTCTAGACTGTACAATATTAAATAGCTACAATGTCACCAGGGTATTCATCGCTCTTGGGAGTGTGTTCCATGAGGAGTTGCTATTACAGACGGTTGTCACAAAACATGAACTCTTAAAAATTACTGATAAATTAATTTTCAGTTCTCTGATTATATCCAACAGATTCACGTTTCTCATCATAAAATATACATTCTCTAGTAAGTTATTTTCATCCACGGCATATATAAATATGCAAACACAGGTAGGGGGAAAGCACTCAACTACCGAAGCACAGAGTAACCGGACAGACAGAAATGAAGCTGACACAACAGCCACTCGGTGTTCCTCCCAACGCGAACCTCAAGGATTTATTTGTGCTGAACGGATGGCAGTCGTGTCCAGAACCTTGCCTTTGATGGGCAAAGCAAGCAGCCATCAAGGCCAGGGAGCTCCTCTGCTCTACCCTTTTCTGCCAAGTGCTCCCCCGGCCACCATGCTAGGGTGTCAGCCACGTCCAGTGTTTCCCAGCAGCGATTTGCTTCTGGAAAATACTCATCCACCCTCTGTCTTGGGACAACACAAAAGAATGGAAGGGGCAGCCACACTCGCTGTTACAATCTCACGGGCCTTGCAGCAGAGATCTACGACCACATTCGAGGCAGCCCCAGAGACCACTGGTAGGAAGGCATCTATCCGCTCGTGTCAGAGGGGACTGACTTAGGTGGGTTAACACTAAAGAGAAAGGAAAAAAAAAAAAATCACATCTTAGTAGGCAATGATTCCCATCCCACACACATGGCGAAGATACAGCTGTGTGATTTGTTTCTGTAGGCTGTTTTACAAGAGACACGGCGGTCAATTTACATAAAAAAACAATCTGTAAAAAGTGTGTCTGTAGAAAGCTCTAGACTAGGTATCTTTGTGGGCATCGATTCATCTAACCTCCAACCCTACACTGAGTTAGGCTCGCAAAGGTCTAAACTGTAGTGACGAACTCTTGGTATGTTTGGTAAACTTCACTGTGACCTGGAGAAGAAGGGTTACCAACAGCTCAGTGATTTCCTGCAAATTCACAGAGAAAAATATATATATATAAAAAAAAAAAATCTCCCTTCCTATTTTACAAACCTAAAAGCCAAGAAAAAGAAGCCCTGGGGCCCGGAGGGTAAGGGTTTGCACACGGCTGCTTATTACCAAATACCAGATAGCAATGTTCCAGCCAGGGAATGATGGACACGGAGATTCAAGTAAAACACCGATGGAAAAAGTCGTCTGGTTAGTGTTGCGGACGCGCAACACCTGCTGCGTTTCCGACGGACATTCACAACACAACGAGGAGGGAAGCTAGATAACCTCAGTGCAAATGCATCAGATCCGAATATGCCAGGAAGGAAGCCTTTGGCATTGAGAAGGCGGCTCCATCAGAAGAGTCCCCACTTGACATTCTGACTAAGCTCATGCATTAAGGCTGGGAGGAGGGGTGCACCGGATGCGGCAACTGCGGCTGCGACGACGCGGCAGGCTGCGTGGTGGCTGCCGAGGGGACCGCGGGCTGCATGGGGGGCGGAGGTGGCGGCGGAGGCGGCTGCACCGGGCTCTGTGTGTTGGGAGACGGAGGCGGCGTGGGCCGTTTAAACTTGTCAGGGCTGCTGCTTCTCCGTGGTGATGGCCTCTGTGGGAGGACAATTCAACAATGCCTGAATCAGGGCCGAGGAGAATGGAACCCGGACCAACAAGGGCAAAGAGGGAAGGTACCCTGCTTTATCATTGGTGGTTCCTGAACTAGCCGGGACCACAGAAACAAGGCAGTGAAGAACTAATACAAAGGGGTAATGCATCTTTCACAGCCAAACACTCAGTGTGGGTCCTTCAGTAAAAACAACAACAATAAAGATTTCGTATTATCCCCTTAAAAACTGTCACTTCCATGGCCTCAATCTCCCCCATCATTCACCTTGCTTCTCGTGTTAGCAGACAACATTCTAAGGCAACATGATACAACATTCTCTACCTTTGCACAAGGCTCTTCACACTTCAAAAGACTTACATGGGCACCCTAAGTATAATGTCAGGGAGTGAGGCTCTTTGAACCTCTTTCTCTCCTTATTCCTATTCTGGCATTTCTTCCACACAGCCAACAGTGCAGGGCAACTCTCCCGGGTAGAGCTCGAGAGCTGGATGAACTTGATCCTCCCGAATACAGGGGTGAAAAGTCGGGAGTAGAACCGGAAGCCAAGGCAACTTTTAGGAAGGTCGCCATGGGTCAGGGAACTGCAAAGGTGTTGATAATAGGTGTTTTCAGATATGACAGAAACCACCAATACTGCTCTATGGCAAGCAGCTGGCCACAGTCCAGGGAAGACACTGTCTAGACTCTGAGTTAGATTTCAGCGTGGGTGATCTCCATAAGCGAAGATGAGCCTTGCCGTCTGGGGATGTTAGCTTCAATACCGCAATTTCACGTTAAACACAAGTGAACAGTCCACAGCTAGAGGGACAAGTGTCCTGAGATTCAGGGTGAACGGCTAACAGTGGCAGTCCTCAGCTCCGCTGAGAGACCAGCGGGTGCCAGGCCAGACGCCTGTCCCAGACAGGGTACTTACTGTGATGCCATGGGAGGGCGCCATGTGCTGGACGTGGAGGCCTGGAGAGTTGTAGTAGGACATTCCAGCTCGAGTCAGTGAGGTCGGCGGCGTGAAACCGACCGTGTGACTTGCATACGAAAGACCTAAACCAGAAGGGCAACAGGGTTCAGTTTCGTTTGCAGCCCGACTGTCTAGAACCTTCGACCATCTAGGAAGACTCAAAAGGCAGAGGGTCTCAGATGCACGCACAAATAAAACCAGACAAGCGGAGGGGTGGGCCCACGAAGTGGCATGTTGGGTCATGAGGGGCATACAAAACTGCCAAGCACTGGGGGAGATGGGGCTGCTAAAACAAACAAACAAACAAACAAACAAACCCACCCAGTAAGCCCAGACATGAACTTGATCGTATTTCATCAAATGACCCTTTACACAGCTGATAAAAACAGTCTCTTCAATGAACAGTGCTGGGAAGACCACTTACCCACAGGCAACCAACCAACCAACCAACCAACCAACCAACCAACCAACCAACCAACCCTCTTATGTCACACCATCCACAAGCATCACATGGGTTAGAGCTGAGGAGCTCGTCAGTGTTCAACAGTCTAACTGCCCAGTGGAAGCCAAGTGGATAACGAAGACGGTGACACAGGCGTGGCCTGAGCCCATCGAGCACTGCAGCAAGCGGGGCAGTCCCAGAGGAACAAACGCTGCCCAGCTCTGCACGCAGACATGGGATCTGAGGAGGCCAGGCACAGACAAAGGACAATGGTGGGGACAGGGAAGAAGGGGTCGGAGGGAAGAAGGCCCGATGCTCTGCGGGGATGAGGCTTCAGCTTCGGGGGAGTAAGGTACGAGGAGCTGCTGGAGAGCTCCTGAGGAATGATGTTCAAGGCTGTGCGCTGGCTTTCAAGTACACGTACCCACACAGGTGTGTACACAAACACACACACCACCACCATTGACTCTTTCTTATTAGACAGGCCTGGGGTAGGGTCTAATTGCCCCTATTTGAACTAGGCAGGAGTGGTTTATCTGGGCACAGTCTAACCCCAGAAGGCCGTGCTGGTCTGGGCAACACGCAAACTTTATGAAAGCAGGACTTTACACCTCTGACTCCCAGCATCCAACCGTAAAAACTGCGCAGGGTAGGTCCTCGCTGTGGCTTCAGCCGGCCATGTCCAGCTGCCCACCACAGGCGCTGAACACTTAGTCCCCAGCAGATGGCGCTGTCTGGGAAGGCTTAACAGGTATCCTTAAGTGGTAGGGCCTCAGAAGGGGGAGTAACTAGGTGCGGGTAATCTTGGGGTTCACAGTCCAGCCTCACTTCTAGTCTGTTCTCTGCCCTCGGATACAATGTGAGCAGCGGCTGCTGCAAGCTCTCATCCCCAAGTTCTTCTCCGACAGGACAAGCTGCATCCCGCCCTTTGCCTCTTAGGTTGCTTCCTGCCAAGTGCTTGGTCATAGCGCCGCTGACACAGAGCCATAAAAGTGGACACAGTACAAACACTGATAGAGAAGGTGACGTACCAGGGTCACCACCCTCTTTGAAGGGCCTGCAGGTGCCGAGAGGCCAAGCCGTATTAACCGTTTATCACTGTCCTGAATTACACGGGAACCAGAAGCCACACTATCTACCTATTTCCACAAAGATACAGCGGGTATATTCTCAGAGGGCTTCTCTGTGCCCTCAACATCAACTGTGAGAACTTACTTCCTGACTGTACATCAGCGGGGCCTGCTGTCTCATAGATCTCCCATTTCTAATTGATAATTGATTTCTGACTCACGTGTACAAAATGAGGCTCTGCAGCAAAGCACCAGTCTTTTAAACAACCAACACGATCATTTAATGTGCTGTTTATTGATAAGCTGAGAAGGACGGGCTCGTCTTCAAATAACGGCCCAGGGAACAAAACCCTAACCCCTCTTCTGAGGATAGTGATGGTGAGACAGGGGGTCGGGGGTAGGATGGCCCACTCAATGGTAAAATAGTTGTCTAGGGCCACAGGTCTAGGTTCAATCCCCACCACCAAGAAAGAGCAAAACACAAAGGAATAAACACCCCCACACCCAAAAACCCAAGATGCATTAAAATGTGTGTGTGTGTGTGTGTGTGTGTGTGTGTGTGTGTGTGTCTTTAATTTTAAAAACAGCTCAAGAGATTCCTTTCCGGGCTGGAGTGATGTCTCAGTGGTTAAGAGCACTCGTTGCTCTTGCAGAGGACATGGGTTTGATTCCTAGCACCCACACGGAAGTCCAAAACCTAGTTCCAGGGAAGCCAGCCCCTTCTTTCTGACCTCTGAAGGATCAAGTACACATGTGATACACACACATACATGCAGGCAAAACATTCATATACATAAACACATAAAATAATAACTAAAACAGAGTCCTTTCATGAAACAAAAAAATTCCAGCCTATTTATTAGGCTAATTTTTCTAAAACAAAAAAAATTATGTTAAACCATTAACCAAGAATCTTCAAGGACTCTCTATTGCACCTGCACATAGACCCCCCCCCCCCCACATACCTTCTGATGTCCTAGGCCAGCAATTCTCACTGGTAAACATCAAGCCCTGTGACCCTAACTCTAACTCAAGCCTGACCCCAAACCAAATCAATCAAGGGAATAGTGCAAAGGGCAGCCTGTGTTAACACTCTCTGATATGTGATTCTGAGCCACAGGACAAATTATTTAATCTCATTGTGCTACAGAGGCCACCATTAGCAAACATGATCACTGTAGCATCCTCAAAAGACTATTACAAGGACTACATGAGTTATGAGTGTATTTTTTTACCCTCTTTCCTTGGGCCCTATTACAAGCTTCTATAAGCATGGGGACTTTATTAATTTTTGTTCTTCCTTAAATCTTAAAAACCATGCATCTCTTCCTTCAGCCTAGGAAGATATAGAGAATAAACAACCTTTCCCGAAGCAGGAAATCTGCATACAATGGCTGCTAAACAGAAAACATTGGCACAGCTTAAGGACAGGGACACCTTTTAAGAAATACATCCCTCAGGAATTTCAATGGGAGGTAACAGTGTCTTCAAATTGCTAAGGAGTAACACCACTAGGCAGTACTGTGACAGGTCTCTGACGACTCCTGCTGACAGAAACATCACAATGAAGATAATTAGATGGCTTTCATTGGTCACACTGTCCTAGCTTTGGTACTCAAGGCTCTTGAGTCTCTGTCATATGCCCACATAGGTTCTTATTGGTCACACTGTCCTAGCTCTGGCACCTGGGGGTCCCTGGCTGTCTGTCATATCCTCACCGTTATTTCTGAGAAATTCTACTTTGCCAAGACGCTGCAGATCTACATACACACATCTTTCCAAGTGGCCCAAGCTCCTTCTAACTGAGAATGGAGATGGAAACCAAACCCAGCCTCTGAGTACACTCATTGTTATCAGGCACACACACCTGCTTTTGGATCTCTTTGTTGCCTATTCCTGATTTAGACATATCCAAACATGCTATTGAGAACATCTTAGTACCATTATACAAATGCAGGAAAACTGCTGAGCAGAACTTTAAGAGCAGACACATAATTCTAAACCAAACTCTCACAATTTTGCTCCCTCCCCATCCCCTAGCTGTATTTTTTCTCATGGTTTGGAAATGTCATGCCTCTAAAAGTTTTGTTACCTTTAAGTAGATCAAATAAGGTATTAAATTATTCTCAAGGTGAACTGCTATTCCTACCTGCTACACAATAACCCTCATCCTCTTGCTCCTAACTGTAAGCCTTCCTTTACCAAAAAGACAGACGGTAAAGAGACCTTTATGGTGGTGATGAAATCCTAGCGCTGTTTGGGGAAAATGGAGAGGTAGCTAAGAGAAGCTTTGAATCAAGACTTAGGGCCACTGGAGACTAGAGAAATGGATTCAGACTCGGGAACATCGTTTGACAAGAACAGGGAATGATGGCTAGTTGCACTGCTCATCTTGGATAGGAACCCGTGCTCTGTCCTTGGTCTCTTTTGCCTCAGAGAGCCAGCCTCATGTCTCTAACAGAAGAGCTGTCACAGTGTGGGAGAGTCTTTACTATTAGCTTTGAGAGTCTCCTTTAAAGAGAGAACGGGGTAGAGGGCTAGAGAGATGGCTCAGTGGTTAGAGCACTGACTGCTCTCAGTTGTTAGAGCACTGACTGCTCTTCAGGAGAACCCAAAGCTAATCCCTAGTACCCCAAGGATGGTGGCTCACAACCTCCCGTAATCTTAGTCTCAGGTGGCCCAATGCTCCTTTTCTGACCTCTGAGAACCCTGCACACACCTGGTTCACACAACCTGCAGACACATGGCTCACGGACACAGGGAAACCACCCATACACACACAATAATAATAACAACAACAACAAAGTCACTGTAGTACTGGCCAGATCCCAAATTGATAAAGCCATGGCATTTCTACTACACTGTCCTGATGGCAGTCCCCTTTACCAACCTTAAGGGAAATCCCTGTTTTAATTATGAACGCAGACAGGACAAACCACAGCCCTAACAAAGCCTTTGCAAGGCCACCCCTACTGTGACACGCCTCCAACTTAGCACCATCTGCTCAGACTTGCTCAACTCCCTCTGTAGCTTGTTCATCGGTAAACACAAAAAGTCTCTACAAGCTGCCAGCCTCTGCCCTTCTTTCGCTTCCCTGCTCCTTCTGCCATTCACCCCTGTCCCACTCCCTCCTCATCCGTTGAGGGTAGATCACATACTTGCCCACCAACACGGGAGCCCCAAGCTCTGCTGGTGCTGAGCCTGGGGCATTGAGGAGTATTCTGGAGCCAGATGAAGACAAGCATGCTGGGAAAAGGAAAGGCCCTGGATAACAAAGCCATAACCGGGAGAAACTTCCCTACTTGTACAACCAACTCACCAGGCCAGCAAGGCCTGACTTACAAATGGCTGCAGCTCGTGCTAAGAGGAAGGCTGGTTCTGGAAAAAGCTGCCTATCCTGGCCTCTTCTTGGCCCAATGACCGAGCATGAGTAACCTGTGAATGGCTGCTTCTTCTATTTTGACAAGGGAAGAGTGATGCTCAAACTATTATCCAGAGCAAAAGTGAGATTAGCATAGTTGGAATGAAGTGATGGAACCCAGAAATGAAGCAAGGTAAGACATCTTGGAAATCTACCCATCCCTTGAGACCAATCACACACACAGCCTTCTAAGAAAGGGGTTTTGAAGTCAGATTTAAGGCTAGAAAATAATCTATACCTAAGGCCCAGTGAACACCAAGAAAGAGGGGGCAGACAGATGGTATGAAACCCTTAAAAATAAAAGTAAAAATAAAGTAACGCACTAAACAATAAAATAATAATAAAAAAAATTAGAGTCTTTGTGTTTAAGATATTCAAGCCAATGCTCAGTTCTAATGGTGATATAAGATTTAAAGAAACACAGGGCTGGAGAGATGGCTCAAAGGTTAAGAACACTGGCTATTGTTCCAGAAGTCCTGAGTTCAATTCCCAGCCACCACGAGGTGGCTCATAACCATCTATAGTGCAATCTGGTGCCCTCTTCTGGCATGCAGGCCTGTATACAGGCAGAATGCTGTATAAATAATAAATAAATCTTAAAAACACACACACACAAAATAGAAGGGAACACAACAGGCGGCTGCTGATTAAACGTATCAGAAGAGCTAGCTAAAAATCAGTGGGGAACACTTGGCTAAACCTCTGTGAGGCCCTGGGTTCAATCCCCAGCACCACATAGCCATACATAGCCATACAAGGCTCCCCCGCCTCAGACAGACACACACAAACACACACACATACACACATAGCTACACAAGACAGACAGAAACACACACATTATATAGCCACACATACAAATACAGCCATAGACAGACAGACACACACACACACACACACACACACACACACACACACACAGGACACACTCACCGGGTGATATAGGCCTGCTTGAACTGGGAGAAGGCGTGTAAGGGATTGGGCTGGACACAGTGCGAGGTCTTAATCCTTGCGCAGACATCTCATTAAAATACCTGAAAGAAGAGAGGAGGAAGTGAGATGAGACACCGCTGTTCAAGTGGCCCTTAGAAGAAACCCTGGGAGGTGTGAGCATCACAGAGCCTGAGGTCTTGGGAGGTGGTGAGGCCGTACCCATGGGACAGTGTGGATTCTGCAGTTGCACTGTTACAGTCTAACAAATGTGTCACTACCCCCAGAGGCCTTTCACAGGTATGCCATACTGCAGAAAGTACCAGTCCCGAAGACTTCAGTGACCTCAGAAGCACAAACATATCTAGGTTTGAATTGCTCCTTGAAAACTCAAAGCCAAACAAGCTCACCAATGTTTAAGTTATAACATCATGCGTAAGGTCACATAAGGCCCTGAGCTGAGTGCCACATTTTCACAAGGCTCTGCTTAACAGAGGGTCACACATTAGAACTGAACAGAAGACTCCAGCGCTGAGCACCCTCAGCCAGTCGCCCGCTCAGCCACACCTTGCCGAGTCCAGCTACCACCTGATTTTAGAAGTCACGTCATCCCTGAGCGTGCAGCAGTTGAGATCATTGTGGGGAACCATCACCTTTCATCCTGTAACCAAGTGCAGAGTGCTGATGGGAGGGAATTTCTGCTTGACAGACTTCCTGACAAACTATCCTCCCCGGCCTTAAAGCTAAACAGGTATGGACTTTCATCTCAGAGCACCGTCAGCCCTGGTGCTCATTGACCTGGGGAACCGGCACAGCCATTTCCAAGCAGGCTAATGGAGCCTGACTGACACACAGCTCAATTAGATGCCTGCCTCTCTGTCTTCTCCCCTTCTCTAGGACAGCCCAGCCCAGCAATACCAGGTGGGACCTCTCCTTGCCCTGTGTATGCCACTGGGTGGTTTAAGATCACCCTTTACGGTCTCGAGTGCCTGATGTTTTCCTTCTCTGAGATCCAATGCATCACATCTGTCCTGGGACGCACAGTGGTACTTAACCAGGAGACTCCAGGGTACCTTGAATTGTTTATGAAAAGGAAAAGCAGTGCTGGGGGCTATAGCTTAAGTGGCAGACTGTCTGTATAGGATGCACGAAGCCCTGGGTTATGCCAAGCACTGTGGTGGCACGCACCTCTAACCCCAGCCCTCTGGGGTGGAGAAAGGAGAACCAAAATTCAAGGTCAACTCAGGACTACAGGAGATCCTGCCTCAACACAAATGAAAATAAACAACAAAATAAAGAAAAACTTCAGCAGCGAACACCTGCTCTGAAGGAAGTGGTGATCTATCCGGAAGTGTGGAGGAGCCACACCTTCCAAAAGTGGCCTCCCCAAGGGGCAGCCCGGGTGCTGTGTACTTCTGTCTGGGTTGCCCCCTAGTCTTTAGTTAACAAAACATCTAGTGAACTGCTTTGTGTCTGGGTTGACATTTTCAGTCAAACAATTCTACCGAGAACGGGAAACTGTCAAGAATAGAAACAGAAAGTTTAGAAGCATTACAAATAGAAAAGGATTAGAGTTTCCTAATACACTCCTTTGAAAAAAAATATAATTCTTTAAGTGAGGAAGCAGAGAGATATTTTATTAAAGAGGAAAGCTTGTTATTCTATAACTTTTAAAACCCCATTTATAACTTGGCATTATTTTAAAAATTCTGTTTTATTGAAAAGATCTAGAAGTAGTGCTGGGAAGGACTTCTGCAGTCCTCTGGGTCGATTTCACGAAAGAGAGAGGTGGTGGGCTGGATGAGTGGCAGTGCCCACGTCACATGTTTTGTCCTCGACACACAGCACTTCTAAGGGAACAGAGCCTGGCTGGTGGCCCAGGGCTCACACAGAGCGCACACAGCTGTCTCAGGGGGCTCGAGCTTCCTTCCACATTGGGAGCATATGGGAAGCTGAGCCATGCCCAGTCAGCGATGGTCAGTGTCAGAGGGAGGCTAATTCTGTAACTGCTGCTCAGAAAAGGTCTTTGCTCTATTTGGCTTTGTTAGTTATCTCAGCAGCTTCCTCATCCCCAAGTGCAGAGGAGGAGATAAAAGAGAAGGATCTCACTGAGTTACAGATGCAGAAACCAGCTGTTGCAGTTACCCACTGGATGCTCATCTCAGTATAGGAGACAGAGAAGTGCAAGCTAAAGACATAGGAAACACATTTAGAAAAATCACCCCCCAAAATTCCTCAGAGCTAGGGGGAGAAAACGGCTACACAGAAAGAAGAGGCAGGATGGAAAAAGAACCTCACACGTCTCATAGTTAAGACGCTGAGCACACAGAACAAAGAAATAACACTGATGCTTGAGAAAAAGAAGCAAGTCACAGAGGAAACCCATCAGAAAACAGCAGTCTCTTCAAGAGAAATTCTAAAAGCCGGAGAGGCATTACAGCAATGTATCCCAAGCTCTGAAAACAGTAAACTGGCAATCCAGGTTATCATACCCAGCAAAATTATTCTTCACAGTGGAAGGAGGAAGTTTTCATTATAAACACAAAGTAAAGGAATTGACAACCACGAAGGCAGCACTACAGAAAATAGTTCAAGGAATTCTACAGACTAAAGAGAAAGACAAAACACATCCATGAGGCGATGGTGCGGACTGACATATGTACTAGAACAAGGAATCAGCAAAATGGCAAATTTTAAGCAACCCACAAATGGCATAAAGACACAGACACTTTTCCATATAGCTCTAAATGTTAATAGTTGCAAATGTCAAAAATCAGGACACAAGAGGAGAAAACTGGACTAAAAAATAGGAGCCATCTGTTTGTTGCCTAAAAACAAAACAAAACACATCTCACTGGCAAAGCTAAACAGAACCACAGGATGAAAGGGAGGAAAAGACATTCTAAGCTAACATAAAGTAGGTATTGCTGTTTAAACATCCGGCAAAGTAGACTTCAATCTGAGAATAAGTCCAAAGAGATGATGATGTGCCCAGTTTCATAAATAAATGCCACAGAGTGTAAAAACACAGACTTAAACCCAGTAACAGGGGAGACTTCAATCTCTACACTCACCAAGCAACAGGCCATCCAGACTAAAAAAACTTAACAGAAACCTATCAGAGTTGGATATCACAGAGTAGCTGACTTAACAAGACATCTAAGAAGATTACACTCAAATAGTGCAGGATACATGCTCTTATCATCAGCCTATAGACCCTTCTCCAAAATGGATCACATCTTAGGAGCAAGACGAGTCTTAATAAGTATTTAAGAAAGTTAGATTTCTTAACATTCTACCTGGTCACACTGGAACGACGTTAAAGATTAGCAGTAAGAGAAACCACAGAAAACAAAACAAAAAAACAACAAAACAGTTATGGAGAACAGACAACATTCCACTGAATGATGAATAAGTCATGGAAGAAGTCGGGGGGGGGGGAGGATTAAAAATTTCTAAAATATAACAAAAACAAAAACAGAGTATCAGAACCAAAGGGATATAATAAAAGTGTTTCTAAGAGGTTAGTACAGAGCTACAAGTGCCCATGCTGAAAGAGCCCAAATCGATAACTTAATGGTGTACACATCAAGGGCTTACAAAAAAAAAGGGGGGGGACTATGTCAAACCCCAAAATCAACAAACAGAAATACTGAGATCGAGACAGAGGCTACTGAAATATAAATAATCATGAATAATGATAATATAACCAATGAGAAAAAGAGTTGGCTCGTTGAAAATATAAGTTTGACACAGCCTTAGCCAAACTAACCAAGAGACAGACACCAGTAAGATTCAGAGGATTGTTAGGGCATAGCGTGAAAACCTACATTTTAAAAAACTGGAAAATGGATACATTTTTGAAACACTCATAACTTACCAAAATTAAACAGAAGATATAAGAAACTTAGAGCTTAGACAGTCTATCACAAGCAATGAGATTGACTTAGTGATACAAAGTCTCCCAAATAAGTACATACATACATACACATACATACATACATACATACATACATACATACATACATACATACTACATGCATACAGTCTAGGCCCAGAAGGACTCACTGCTGAGTTCTACCAGACGTCTAAAAAGAATTAACAGCAGAGCTCTTCAAAGCTCTTCTGGGATGAAACTGGAAGGAGAAGAACTTTCACACAGCCAGCATTCTGGATACCAAACCAGATAAGGACCCCACAACAACAGGCAATTAGACAAATGGGACTGTATGAAAGGAAGAAACAAAAGAAACAATACATGCTAAAACAAACGAACAATAACAACAACAAAACACTATTTCTCAATCTTCCTAATGCTGAGATCCTTTAATACAGTTCATGTTGTGGTGGCCCCCAATCATAAAATTATTTCAATGCTACTTCGTAACTGTAATTTTGCTCCTGTTATGAATTATAACGTTAGTAAGTATTTGACATGTAGGATGACTGATACCCAACCCCAAGGGAGTTGTGACCTACCAGGTTGAGAGCCCCTGCTGAAGAGGAAATCCACAGAAGGGGAGAAAATCTGTGCTGACTACACATGAGACAGGTGATTTAAATATATCCAGGATACTCACAGAACTAAAAAAGTAAATATTAAAATATCAAACAAAGCCATCAATAAACAGGCAAATGAGATGAACAGTGAGCAGGATGGATGTTGTGGTGCATACACACCTTTAATCCCAGCACTTGGAAGGCAGGTGGATCTCTGGGAGTTCCAGGACAGCCAGGGCTGCACAGTGAGAACCTATTCTAAAAACTTAAAAAAAAAAAAAAATCAAAGTGAAACAGTCAACAAACTTATGAAAAAAATGTTCAACATCCTAAGGTACCAGGGAAATGCCAGTCAAAATTATACTGAGATTCTCACCCTGGTTAGAATGTTGGTTATTAAGAAAACAAGAAGCAAAGCTCATGGAGATGTGGATAAAAGGAAGATCTCAGACACATTGGTGGGAATGTAAAGCAGCCTGGCTGCTATGAACCTCAGAGTGAAAGGTTCTAGAAAACAAAAACAAAAACACAAACACACAAAAACACACAAACACACACACACACACACACACACACACACACACACAAAACTGTAACTGTTATGTGACTCGCCTATGGCAATTCTGGGTTATAAGATACCAGAGGGCTCTAAGTGCCAGAATTACACCTGTACGCCTGTGTCATTTCGGGTCTATTCCAAAGAGCCAAGCTGTGGACTCTGCTGGAGGTCAACCCAGGAGGGAAATGTGGCATGTGTATGCAATGGAACTTATACAGTTGCAAAGAAGACAGAAACACAGAGCTATCACAAACCAAAATGAGCAAACTAAGCCAGACCCAGAGACGTGTCACAGCTCTCATTTGTGGATTCCACATATTTTTAACAAATACATAAAACTATTTATATGTACACATATGACATGAAATCAGAAAAAAAGGCTGAAGAAATCAATCAGGTGGAAGAAAGTGGAGAGAGGAAGGGAAGGGTGTGGGGCGAGCCTGGCTAAATGCTCACAACATGAGAGAGACTGTTGGCTATGAAACCCAACACTGACAAGAAAAAAAAATTCAAGCCAAAGGCCCCAACAATTATTCTGTAATTACTATGGCCTGGTGCCTTTCTGATTAAGATAGAGGAGTTATTTCCAAAGGATATCGACGCTAAATATATGAATGAAATACTAAACTCAGTGGGTTAAAAACAAAGACATCAAAAATTAGGAGGGGACTTCCAGAAAGAAGTGGTAGAGGTTGGGGGTGCTGGGGGGGGGAGGGGAGAAGGGGAGGAGAGAGAGAGAGAAAGAGAGAAGAGAAAGTCATAGGGGACAAAAATGACCCAAATTTAATATTCACGTTTGAAATTACCAACGATCTTTTTTTTTAAGCTTGGCATAGTTTACTGACAAATGAGGTAACATAAAAATTCTAAAGGAGGAAAAAATAACACCACTAAAATGTTTGCAATTCAATTAAAACAGATTCGGAGAAAATCCTGCTAACTGTGCCTGTGATATTTGTATCCAAGTATGCGAACTTATTTATTCCTGTTACTAGAAATAGGGACAGCAAATATATTTCTAATTTTTGCTTATGTTCCTTTAAATATCAATGTTAAAATTTTAGAAATCAAAACAAATGCCAGCTTTGCCTCCATCTCTCTCTCCCTCACGTGCCATTTTAAAAGGGCAGTTTCTTCTCGGGTGTTAGCAGAGTAGTCAACCTTCCACATAGCCTACCCTGAACATGTGCTTCAAATTGGAGGGAGTCACCATCACAGACCATGTGATGCTAAACCTTTCCCCTTCCAGAACACATAATTTTTAAATCAATTTATGGGTATGGGCGTTTGCCTGCAAGCATTCCTATACAGCACATCCATGCCTGGTGCCTGTGAAGGCCAGAAGAGGGCCTGGATCCCCTGGAACTGGAGTTACAGGTGGTGTGTTGTGTGTGTGTTGTGTGTGTGTGTGTGTGTGTGTGTGCGCGCGCGCACGTGGTGGGGATGCGCACGGACGCAAACCTCTCATCATCCATCTCCAGGCTGGATTCGCTCTCGGAGAGCTGGCGGCACAGCGCTTCCCTCCTCTCCATCTCCCTCTGGAGCTTCCGCTGCAGCCTCAGGTTCTCTTCCCGCATGTGTCGCTCCTCCTCCAGGTACTGGGCCATCTTCTCCGAATCTGAAAAGCCAGTGCTTGCAATTAAACTGTGTTTCGTGCAATCATTAGCCCGTACTGGCACGGCCTTGCCCTCTCGCATGAGAACGGGGTTTAACGTGTACCCTGAGTATCAGAGTTTGCAAATGAGTTCCATCTAGCAAAGAGTTTGACAGGCGGTGCTGGCAGGCTCGTTCCCTCAACATTCACAGGACAGCGCTCCGGGTGAATACAGGACAGAACCAGAGTGGAGTTTCATTACCACCTTGTCACACTTCCTTCTACGTTGTGGAAGCTGGGAGAGAACGGAGCTCAGTCATGGGGACAGGCAGGCCCACTGATTTCCTCCAGGCTGCCTGTCCACTCTAGAAAGGCCACCTTCGGGGCCTGTCACCCTCATGGGCACAGCCACTGTGCACAGTGGGCAAACAGTTCTCAGAAGCACTGTGCCAGCAGAACACAATCAGTCACAAACAACAGCCTTGTAAAACACAACTTCATCCAGTGAATAAAAAAACCCTTTTCCATGAAGTGCATGTATGCATGTAATCCTCATCCGTGTGCGCGAGTGCATGTGCTTGTGCGACCACCTTTGGGAACTGCTTCACTCCTTCCATCGTACGGGTTCTGGGGATCAAGCTTGAGCATCAGGCTGGGTGGCAAGCGCCTTTACTCACTGAGCCATCCTGCCTGCCCAATAATGACTCCTGATAGTACTGCACTACAGTACAAAGCCCAGGGAAGAAAGAGGACTTCCGAACCCCTAGTGCTGAAATTACAGCCGCTGGGAACTAAGATCCTCTGCATGAGCAGCGAGTGGTCCTAACCACTGAATCATCTCCCCAACCCGGGCTCTCCCTCTTTCAGAAATGAAAATGCTCAGATTATTAGACACTATTATGTAGACTAAACACCGAATCTCTCAGCTGTTTTGAATACAGCCAGAAAACCCTGCTGCCTAATCCATATGCAAAAGTCTTTTTAATTGAAGTGATGCTGGGAAAATACTTACAAAGCTCACTTCTAATATGAACGGCTTAAATTAAGTCTCCCCAAGTACGCTTGTGTGCAGACTTCTCACCGAGCCCAACAGGAAGCACCAGGTGGCCCCGGGCATACCTACTGTTGCTCAGACTCAGATGGCAGCTACAAAACCGTAAACAGCAAAGGTTCCTAGAACCAAGATTCATGAGGCTCTGGGAATAGCGATGTAAGGGGAAGCACCGCTTTTTTCACAGAAAATCACAATTCAGGCTGGGCAAGGGATTCATGCCCATATTCCCAGCACCTGGGGGTGGGTTAAGGCAGGAGGGTTGAGAACTTGAGGTTAGCCTGGGCTATGCAGAGAGACTATGTTATACAATAAAACAAAACTAAAAGGAGAGGGCAATCATTAGCATATGGGACTCAGCAGAGGGATACCGAGGCAGTAACTTAGAGGTAAGAATATCACCTCAGGGAGGACTGCAGGGCTTCCTGTCAATGTATCTAATAACTCAGATACAGCAGCAGGCCCAAATGCACCTTCTCCAGGATGGGGACCCACACACAGGAGGCTGGAACAAAAGCATTCCTTGGGTGCCCCCTGCTGGCACAGTCACCCTACTCTTCTCTCACACAGCTCTCTAGTCCTCAGGGGCCACAGTTTCTATCTCCATGGTGTTCTGCTACCTCCTGAAATTTAATCAAAGGTGGCTTCCATCCAGGGAGGAGTCAAATTGGGAAGCAAGCTACTTCCCCTCCCCTTCCCAGTACAGACCACATGGGGACTGAGCTCCATCAGACTGTAAGGCTTGGCTCAAACTGATAACTCTTGAGAGGTTCAAGTCAGGGGTGGAGGCAGAGGGGTTAACTGCCACAGTTACACCAAAGGAGTTGCAGGCCACCTGATATACAAAGTGGGAGACAAGGATGAGTCAGATCATGAACACAGCATCCTCTAAGCCTGTGGTTCTCAATTTGTGGGTTGAGACTTCTTTGGGGGTTTCACTGGGGTTGCCCAAGACCATTGGAAAACACAGATATTTACATTACGATTCCTAACAGTAGCAAATTTACAGTTCTGAGGTAGCAATGAAAAGAACTTACTGGTTGGGGGTCACCACAACATGAGGAACTGTGTTAACAGGTCACCGCAGTTGGAAGGCTGAGACCCACTGCTCTAACCTTTATTGAAGCCAGCTGAGTGATGGTGATGGCCTCTCTGGGCCAGCCTTTTCTGTCCTGGGGGCGGGGGTGGGGAATTACACTAGCATTCACAGATGGCTTTACTGAGAGCTGCAGGCCTTTCAAAGACCAAGCCGGGCAGCGAGTGCCAAGGGATAAGAATAAAGCATCCTCCCCTCAGAGCCTACTGGCCAAACATAACTGATGGAAAAAGGGAGCTGGCTGCCCCAGAAGGGGTGATAAAACACCCCTTCATGAAACAGCATTTTTGATTTAGCTCACCTGGTTTCACAGGGTTATCTATCTGCAAGCAGTTCTCTAGGATACACCTCAGAATTACTTAAGAGTCAAAACAAACATTTCAGAGGACCACAGTCTGGTCCTGGAAGAACTCAGGAAACCAGCCAGTGCAATGACGGGGGTGTCCGCGGACTCATCCCCAGTGGGCTGTGAAGGCTGCCCCATTACACAACAGAGACAGTGGGAATTTGTAGGTGGGATTATGTCAGGGACCCAGGGGTGGTGAGGTAATCCTGGATTATCAGGGTGGGTGTAGGATCACCACATGGGTGAGTCAGAGGGAAAAGACAGAACAGGGAGAGGTCGTGGGTGTCGCATCCCCAGAAGGAAGAGCCACAGGAGAGGCAAGGACGGAGCCTGGTGCTTCACAAAACAAGAGGGGGGTAGTTTTGGATTCTCCCGACACCCCCAGAGGCACATGGAGCTACTTGGAAACTCCACATGTTGGGACTCTGGCCTCCAGAGCTACAAGATAAATGGATCTGTGTCGTTTTGAGCCACTGTGTCTATGCTAGTCTCAGCAAAAAGAAGAAGATGCCAGGACTGGATATACCATGTAAGACAGAACACCCACCTACCACTTGCAATGCATTTCCGGGAGACATAAGACAGGAGGCAGAGCTCATCGGTAGGCCTGGCCTTCTGTCGGGTGGACTGGTCTGCCCAAGGCACTCACGCACAGGGAGACCACGGGTGCAGGAGCACCCGCACTGCAGCTGGGGCACAGCAACAAAGAGAAAGGGTCCGCTGGGGCTGGCGAGATGGCCCTTCAGGGGTGGCACCCACCTGCCACCAAGCCTGCCAGACTGATCCAGATCCACTCAACCCACATGGTGAGAGGAGAGAGCAGAACCTACTCCCGTAAGCTGTTCTCAGGCCGACACGTGAGCACCAGGCCAGGTGCGGGCACAGTAGTAATGTAGTCAAAGTGTGTTGAAAAGGGATGCTTCGTATGGCCTGTTTAAGGAATGCAATAGGCAGCCTTCAAGGAGGGCACAAGGCAGCTGCATAGGGAGCCGGGAGAAGAGCTTGCGAGACAAGCGTTTTTTTGTTTTTGTTTTTAAGTGTTTTCAGCCAGGTGGGGTGGCACACTCCTATAATCCCAGCACTCAGGGAGGCAGACAGATCTCTTGTGAGTTTGAGGCCAGCCTGGTCTGCAAAGGGAGTCCAGGACTGCAAAGGCTACACAGAGAAGCCTTGTCTCGAAAAACCACAATAATGATAATACTTATAATAGAGTGTTTTCAAAAGAGAAAGATACAGAAGGTCATGCTCATTGCACCCCTCTTGGTATAAAGAAATTCTCTGTGTGTGTACACGTCTGGGAGGATACTTAGGTACACACCTGTGCAAACCGCTCACCTGGCAGTATAAAGAATATTTCCCTTATGATATTACCTCAAGGAAGCAGTGCCTGCAGCAAAATCTCAGCAGATGGGCAGACCCCTAAAAATGCATCAGAACCTAGACAAGCTCAGAAACCTGCAACCCTTGATTTCTGCTCAACGCCTTGGCCTTTTCCAAAATATTGAGTATACATTTCAAAAGCATTTATTCTGCAAATACCATGTGAAAATGTCATCTGAGATTAAATTCAGCAGTAAGAAAGGCAAACGCCCCTCCCAGCCGTCCCCGCTCACCGTCCTCTCCTCTCAGCCCTTCTCCCAGTCCTCCTCCTCTCAGCCCTCCCCTCCCAGTCCAGAAGTGCAGTGAGAGCCCCTCACAGATTCATTAGCACATTGCACAGATAAACAAGATCTAAAAGGCCACCGATCTGATACAGTCTAGAAACTGTAACAGGCAGAAACGAAAATATTCTAAAGAAACACTTTTGTCTTTTATTCTCATGGCCAGACGACTGAAACAGTGGATGCCAAAGAAACTGGAATTTCCCCAGGAATCTCACACCGGGAGAGGGAAAGGGCAACAGACAGTGGTGATTATGTCTCCAGTCCCAATCTACAGGATGAGACTGAAACCTGGACTGAAAGCTGAGTCTAGGGTAGGTGGGGTCCTCCCCCTCCCCCAGAACTGCTTAGATGTGCAAATCCTTGGCCCTTTATGTAAATTTAGTTCTATCTTACTTCAGGACCCCCTCCCCCCAAAAAACAGTCGAGGGGTTGCTAGATCTCTTTGATCCCTTCTTCACAATTTGGCGGTTGGCTGAATCCTTTTCTGCTTTCCACTACTAATTTGGTTTTATTGCCTAATAATGGGCAGCCAGACCTGATTTGGGGGTTATAAGCTGTGACTGTCCCCCGAGCCCCAGCCAAGTTCCCTAGCAGAACCACGTGGAAAAGAAGCCTCAGCAAACTGTACGAGGGGTTATCTTAACTGTATGAACTGATGTGGGAAGGCACTCAATGAGCCGTGCCATGCACCAGCGGTCTTCTGGAGGGACGTGGGCCATGGCAGACTGGCTGTGCAGCAGTGGACGGCCCCACACACTCAACTTCAGGGACAGCACAGGCGGGTTCAGTGAGTTAAATAGCAAGTAGACGCAAGGCTGGAGTGTGGTGATGAAGGACGCGTGTGGGAGGAGATAGAGAAAAGCGCGAATGGTAGACATAACCGAAATACGTTACATGAAGTTCTCAAAGGATTCCGTCTGTATGTAGTATGTACATAGCACGTATACAACATGTATGCAACAAGCACACATAGTATGCATCATGTAGTATCATGTATACACTATGTACCATATACACATGTATTTTGTATGCATATATACAGCACGTATACATATGCATGCAGTGTGTACATGTGTGGTATATATTGTGTAGTATGTATATACTATGTACATGTGGATGCATGTATGTATGTATGAGAAGACTACCCGAGCACAGTCAACTATGCATTAGTCAACTATTTCCTGTTCCTGACCATGGGTGTGATGTGAGTGGCTCTCTTGAGCTGCTGCCGGTGACCTCTGTTATGACAACCTGTGTGCCAAATCAGCATATTCTCCCTTAAGTCAGGGACTGACCTCAGCAACAAGGGAAGCAAGACCCCGGGGATCCTGCCAATGCGGTGACTTCCCTCGTGAGGTCATCAACGTTGTCTTCCGGAAGTATTCTAAATTGCTGGCCACCCACCCCCCACAAGCATTCTCTTTCTAAAAAATCATATTCCGGAATAACAGGTGTGCAAGTGTCTCTGTGTCATTAACAACACCGTGGATACGGCTACTGCCAGCTCATTAGTAAGCGTGGGGACTGACGTGGGTCCGGCACACGCACAGATTCGACAGACAGGAAGTCGAGGGGACGGGAGGCCACATACGCTGTAGCTGGGCGGCTCGCAGCTGCTTCTTCAGCCGCTCCACTTCGTTCTTTAAAAACCTGATATGCCTCATCATGTTCTCAGGAGAATCGATCTCCATGGAGATGTCTCTAGGCGATGGCGGGGCAGACACGGGCTGGTCTAATTTCTCCTGCAGGATTCTTCACAGAAAAGAGGAAAAAAAAAAAAAAAAAAGATGCAATAATGAAGAACAGTTTGCTGCAAGTGAGGACATAACACCTAAGCCGAGGGCTTGCCTGAAAAATGTCTACAGGACTGACTAAAGTCTGTCTGTCTGACAAACTCTCCATCCGCCCTCAGCTATTATCATCACAGGTCAACAGGCAGAGCGGCAAGATCTCCTTTCTTCTGTGTTCTCTGTGTGACCACACGGTAGAACAGGCACACACACGCCACCTGCGTGTGGAGGTCAGAGGCTGATCTAGGTGTGGGTCCTTCCCTCCCCCTTGTTTACAGCGAGGTCTCTGGTTCTCTGCTGCTAAGCAAGGCAGCTGACCGGAACTGCTGGGGATTCTCCTGTCTCCGCTCCCTTTAGGAGTGCGCTGGGACCACACTGGTGAGCCCGGCTTTATGTGTGTGGATGCTGGGGATCTGACCTCAGCTCCTCATGCCTTGTGCAGCAAGCAGTACACCTCCGAGCCATCATCCCTGCTCCTTCTGCTCTCCGAGTGGGCCTAGCAGTCGGTCATAACTGTCAAGTCTGGGAAACACCTTTCTGGTTACTATGCCCAGAGTCCAGCCAACTCTCGGGCTTAGCCAACTACATGGTTAGCCGGCTGCTGGAGAGGATGGAAGGAGTGAAAATCACTTCTCTCTCAGTGCTTTGGGTGAAATCGCCCTGGAGGACAAAGTCACAAACTTACACTGTAAAACCTGAGAGGAAGGCTTGGAAAACTGGGAGCAATGATAAAAATGATACAAAACTAAACCAAGAAAGAATTATCTGGTTAATAACCAGTGCATTAGAGCTTCCCTACCAATTATCATTCAGGTAAAACTTTGGAAAAAAAAAAATCAACAGCATTTTACCTACAAAAAGACCATTTCATACTGCTATGTTCAGTGACTTAATACAAACCTGCACGCACATAAGGCCTTCAACAGCATTCCAAAAAAGCAGTCTAACTACAGCAACCTCTACCCTGCTTCTACAAGCTGCAGGGGTAGCTGGGGTTTCCTTTATATTCAATTGTTTACCCCACCACAAACTGACTTATCTCTCGTTCTACCCTAGCTGGGAAAATTAACAGAAGTATGGCCATGGTCATAAAATAATTCAGTTTATTAGAACGGCCACTGTTAGTCCTGCTCTCCAGCCGGCTGGAGGGTTCCTCCCAGACACGCAAGGCTCGACGAACCTCTTTTCAGCTTCCAGCTTATCCATCCTCTTCCACAGCCGATTCACCAGTGCCTCTTGTTCTTGCTCCAGTGTGTTTTCCAGGTCAATCTTCTCCCGTCTCAACTGAAGGAAAGAAAGGGAACAGCTTTACTGCAAATGCCATTGCACTGGAGCATCCCTGCCTGGATCTCACCGTGGACATGTAAGGGATAAGGAAAGAGCTTTGGAATGACTGGACACTGGATCAGACTATTTCCTGTAACTATAACCCCTCCAGCGAGACTGCCAATCCGGCAATTATTAATCTCTGCTCTCAAAAAGCCACTAGAACCAAGTAGTTACGATCACAAACCCTGAGTCAGATCCCAGCTCCACCGATGGTTAGTTGGAAGAATGGGAGGTGACCAGATGGGAATTCATCACTTGTAAAGGATATGCATAATGTCTGGCGGACTAGGTGATGGAGTTTAAATGACTTACCTTAGGCATCATTAGTAAGTGGAACTTAGAATCTTGTGCTCAATACTTATCACTGTCTCTGGTTGTTTTATCCTGTTCCAGCCATCCAGGACCTAACTCCACAGGCTGCTATTCCTTTTTATTTTTATTTTTAAAGTGTCAGTATCTTGGTTGTAATAGCATACTGTGGTTTTGTGAGATATTATATTCATTCCCTTTTATTAGCGAAAGAAGAGGCTTCATTATGTTTCCTTTGCACACGTATGTGATATACTTTGACTGTGTGCACCATGGCCCCTCTCACCACATCACCTTCCTCTCACCCCCCGCCCCCACTCTTGTCTGCTTTGCTCATTAGCGAATCCTAAGTGTCTGGATTCAAGAATGCTTCATCAGTAAATATTAGCTGCTCTTTAGACACACGAATGAGCATAGATCATGGAGGAAACAGAAAGCATTTCATTTCCATGGTGGAATGCGGCTCTGCAGAACAGCTCAAGGGCAAGAAATGGGGAGAAAGTGGAGGCAGAATACTTCAGGGACACTTGGTGGCCCAGCAGGAAACTTCATGAGGTCCCTCCCATAGTCTCTTCTCTGCCAGGTAAGATTGGCTTCACAGTCCAGTGGGTGTATCTGTCACCCGCTCCCAGGGACACCTCAAAAATACAAAAAAGCCATTCTACCTCTAATTATCTCCCCTATGTCCTTCTCAGTTTGTTTGTTTTATTTTGTTTTAAATTCAGAGTTCCTGGGGGCGGAGAGATAGCTCAGCAGTTAACAGCCACTGGCTGCTCCTCCAGAGGTCCCAGGTTCAATTCCCAGCACCCACATGGCAGCTCACAACTGTCTACAATGCTAGACACCCTCATACAGACATATATGTACAAAACACCAATGCACATTAAAAAATAAAAACAAATAGAAAAATTCAGAGTTCTCACAACAGCACCCTCTCACCCACTGCCAATATCTAATAAATAGGGCTAATCCAAGCTCCCCGAAAGAGTATTCTACAGCCCACAGGACCAGTGGATACAGCTGACAGGCAGAGAGTTCATTTGAAAAGCGGCTTTCCAATTAAGCCTTTCAGCGGCCCGCTCAATGCCTCACTGATGCTCAGCAGTTCCACTTTTCATTTTGGGTTAATTAGCGTCAGACTGAGAGTCCTATTACATACCCTAATTAAACCTGGAACTTCCTCAGTGGGTCAACAGTGTGTGGAAAGTATTCCTGGGATGTCAGATCATTCAGCCTGTCAGGCCCCTGTCTGGAATTACAAAAAGGACAGGAGCCCAGCTCCACTGTGCCTCCCTCCCACTGTGCATTTCCGAATTAGAGCAGACTGCGCCCACCTGCAAACCCAGCACCCTGAGGGAGTGAGTGCATGAGGCCCAAGGGGAAGTGAAACAGAACAGATAATAAAATACTGGATTCTCTCTTACTGCTGGGAAGGGGACAGGGGAGAGGGATGATTAGTGACAAACCCTAATGGATAAGAACTCCACCCTTCATGGCAGGCTCTTTAGTGAGACTCAGGAAGGTTCTTCCAACCAACTTTGCAAAGGTTTAGTCTAAACACAGCTGCATTGGTACCACCAAGAGAACTCGGAGAATGAGAGTCCTCCAGTAAGGTGTGGAAAGAAGCTTGTGAGAACTCAGACATTTCCAACCTATGCATAACAAAAGACACAGAGAGGAAGGCTTCCCTACAAGAACAGACACAAAGTGTGTTACCACGAAGCTTCAAAGTGGCCTAGGGGCCAGTAGGATGCCTCAGTAGACAGCAGTGCTTGCTGCCAAGCAAGACAGCCCCGGTTCACTCCTCAGGACTCACATGGAAGACAAAGAACTGACTTGTGCAGATTTCTCATGGGACCTCCGCACACATGCCACGTCATACGCCTGCCCTCGAATAAACAACTGTAATTTCTTTTAAGATCGAGGAAAGAAAAAAAGCATTAAAGGGACCCCCCCCAAAAAAAAAAACAAAACAAAAACCCTAAACAACAAAACATGTGCACCCCACCACGTGTACACACCCACACAGTCCATTTGTGTTAGGTTAGATTAAGGCAGACCCTATCCCCCCACACCTCCAGATGCTTATCTGATTAACCAATCAGCAACTGCTTTCAGAAGTAAGGACAGGTCCTAGGGTGTCCCCAGGGCTCACGTGGGAAAGTCAGCCAGCAAAGGAAGAGTAGGAGGAGGGGGAGGAAGAATGGCCACTTGTCACACCCCAGCGTACAACCACCACTGAAGATCAGCTTACGTACTCCAAAACCCGAAAATGTTTCTATACTGAGGGAGAGAGAGAGAGAACGAATTATGCAGCATGACTAAAAAAGTCCACAGAATGAAGTAGTTGTCTCTCTACCCTTCCTTGCCTTACCCATTTTTTAAAAAATAAATATCTACTTTTGTCATCAAAAAATATTTCAAGACATCTAATTTTGAAAATCTGTTATTTCGTAACAGAAGCAATACCGCAACCACCAACAGCAAACCAACAACAAACTGGTGCTAATTTATGTGTATTAAGCACCCTGAAGGGGATCAATCGCTTTCCACAAAAATAAAAAAATGAGCAAATGTTCAGCTTCTGGGAGAGAGCCTAGATAGAGCTAGCCTTCTATAACACAACCTACATCTCCTCTATCTTTTAAAAACTTCTAAAATCTGCCCGCTCCTGCCTGCCAAATGCTGGAATTAGAACCATGGACCACAGTGTCGAATGGGCTTTGTAAAGTAACTGAAATAGCCCCAAAGATTTGGTGTCATCCAATTTCAAAACGATATATTCCCCATTGCTTTAGGGAAAAGGAAGAGGAGGAGAGGAGGGGAAGATGAAGAAAAACCATTAGCAGCAGCTGAGGGGATGGCGGTGCGCAGCTGCTGTCCGGGTAATATTTTTGTGTTGTCATGTATCTTTTATGTAATTGTTTTCCAAATTTTCTTGGGAAAGCAATGAACTGTCATCATAATGCAAACACCGAGTTTAATAAATCGTTTGGAAGCGTCCATTAAGTTGAGATTGATTTTTGAAATTGAGCTTCAAAACATACATGCAGGTCCTGGGATTTTACTGCCTCACTGCAGGAAGAGTGTTCAAGAATGGTTACACTTCATGCCATCGAGACACACAGCAAGTGGAAGGCGCCACCAGCTCCCTCCAAACACAGCCTTCCGGCTACTAGAATCAGCAGAGACAGCAGTCACTGTGAATGGGAGCCCTGTGTGGTCCTGTGGGTCTAAGAAATACTTTGTTCTCCACCAACAAAAATGCCACGGGCTCCACTCTTTGTGTGTGTCACATGAACATACTGACCTGTAGGCAATTCACCAGGGCTCTTGTCCACTCACACTATGAAACATACACCCTGGGTGTTCCAGCCGTGGGGCATTGGTTTGGTTTTTATTGTGAACGAGTTACCTTCCAGACAACATAAAAGACTACCCAGAGCACACGAGGAATCCCGATCCTAAGAGCAAGAATTCCAATGTGAACTTAAAATGTATTAAACATTTCCTTCTTTCACCGAAAAATGAACGGCCGTGAATCTAGGAGAGGGGTTGGCTGGGAGAAGGGGGAGTGATAAGTAGGGGGATGGCTGACAGGAAAGGGGGTTTGAGGAGGACAGGTCATTGGTAGGGATGCAGGTAACTGACAGAGGAGGACACTTGGTGGGTGGGGTAGAGTGGGAGGGAGGAGAGAGGGACGGGGCTGACAGGGATCTAAGGAAAAGAAAAAGGTGTGTAGGAAAATAATCAGACTGTCTTGTATGCACACATAAATGCCCAAGTAACAAAACCAATCAATAAAAAAATACAATAAAAACAAAATCTTTCCCCAAGGACTCAGGCTCAGTATGACAGTCCGGCCCATGTAGTGCTGGAGATGGCACAGGGTACTGGGCAGTGCCCTGAGAAGCTGGGTTCTTGTCAAGCCCCTGTGGGTCACCTGCTAGGACTAAGGGTAACACCAAGGGACCCTGTTAGCCAAGAGACCTGGCCAGGCCCTGGGACACTTATATGACTGTAATGACAAGCTTATGCCCTCAAAATCCCCCTGCTACAAGCCTGCCTCTCTCCATACCCTGTGAGGAAGAGGAGGAACCCATTTACCACCGTCAACAGCAGTTCTGTTCTCAGCATGGCTTTGCAGGGCCTGCTGACACTCTGGCCTCCAGGACATCTCTGCTTTCCTGGACAAGGTTGGACGTGGGTGTCTCTTCCTAGCAAACTTGTGTCTTTCTTTTGTCTTCATCTCTGTTTGTTCCCAGTCTTCTCTATTATCCAGTGACCCTGTCCATCCAATGCCCAGCATTTCCCTCATCACAGACCACTGGGGACCACTTGTTATCCCAAAACAAGGCTGCAGGCCAGGAACTTTCTGTCATCTTTCTTTGGAGACTGTGAGTGATACAGAGGTCAATTCATGTAGGCTCCTGCCACCCAATTAGCATAACTGAGGTCCAAGCTAAAACAAAGTACAAGGAGCCGGGAGCCAGGTCACAGTGACACAGCCCAAGAGAGAAGAAGCCTCAGAGAGTGAAAAAGTGTTGAGTGTGACATCTGCTGTTTGTGCTCCTGGAAAACGGGGAGCCCAAAATTCCCAGCAGAACTGGTAATGATTTTTTTTCCCTCAAGATTCATTTTAACTG